TGCAACACGATGAGAGTGGAGAGGATACCCCAGACTTTCGGGCACGCAGCTTGAGAACAGGAGGAGAGAAGCTTGGAACAAGCTACACTGGGACAGGTATCCATCCACATGACTGAAAATAGATCCTGAGTTAGCAGAGCCAGATTCAGTCCACAATCAAACTGACATGCTGGTTACACTGCAATCCATTTAATTTGATTATACAATGCAAGCAATGTGTCTGTTTGTTGCCATTTAGGATAGGTAGAGACAAAATTTTATATCAATAATTGGATACTAAATGAATTGCACAGAGAATGTTATCTGCAATTTAAATTGCATGTAAACTCTATTTTTTAATGTTGCATGGCACATTTCCCAAAATATGGTTAGCAAGTTTCCCTCAACATTATTACTGTTTGGATTCCCGTGAGCCTATGTAAAATTTTACCGATAACTTCTGTCAACCAGATCAACTTTTTTTTTTAGACTGTGATGATGTCCACCAGAAACACACTTCTGGTGCCAAAAGTGGCATTTTCAGAATCAAGCCAGCAGGATCCGATAAAGTTTTTTCAGTTTATTGCGACCAACAGACCACTTTGGGAGGATGGCTTTTGATCCAACAGAGATTGGATGGATCAGTGAATTTTAACCGGACCTGGCAAGACTACAAGAAAGGTTTCGGCAGCGTGGATGACAAAGGGAAAGGAGAGTTCTGGCTGGGCAATGAAAACATCCACTTACTGACCCAGAAGGACACTGTCCTTCGAGTCGAATTAGAGGACTGGGCTGGCAATGATGCTTATGCAGAATATAATATACATGTAGGTTCTGAGTCTGAAGGCTATGTCCTCAGCGTCTCTGCTTATGAGGGGACAGCTGGGGATGCACTGATCATAGGCTCAGTGGAGGAAGGTAGTGAATACACAGCACATGCTAACATGAAGTTCAGCACCTTTGACAGGGACAGCGACCAATGGGAGGAGAACTGTGCTGAAGTGTATGGAGGGGGCTGGTGGTACAACAACTGTCAAGCTGCTAATCTCAACGGCATTTACTACCGAGGAGGCCAGTATGATCCAAGGAACAATGTTCCTTATGAGATTGAAAATGGAGTGGTCTGGATACCATTTAGAGCCTCAGACTATTCTCTCAAAGTTGTTAGAATGAAAATCAGGCCCATAGAAACCCAGTAGGCAAACTACAGGAAGACAGGTTATTTTATTTTTGTTTAATATACCTCAAAATACATGGTGTGTCTTTACCCAATCAAACTGAAGGCAACTGAGACACATTTGTGCTTTAAAAAAATAAACATTGTTTAATTGTAAAAGCATTTCTTCTGTCTTCTTATTCACAACCAATACAGCTTGCAAAAAATGTCAAGTTTTATAAATCTTTATAAAGAATAATAAAGCTATGATATTATAGCAAGCATAGCTATTACAGGATTTCAGGAAACATATATTTCGATGGGGAAAGTGTTTCTCCACTGAATTTTGTTAAGTATTTTCACAAATTAAGCAAACACATACACTTAAGGTGATAAAGTCAAATAATGATTATAGCTTGCTGGTCTCTTCTACTCAGTTACCGATATTCTAGAAGAAGTTAATTAATAAAAAATACACTAATATACAGTGATTTTTTCAGGACATAGTTGGAGTTCAACTTGCTGATAATTCGGAGGGGGCAAGCTAATAGATAGATAGATAGATAGATAATTTCTGGGGTCAATAGATCACATTTTAAATCAAGAATTACATTCAATACACAGAAAAAATCAAATAACATCAAAAGGTGGAATTTGAACAGTGCTTTGCAACAAGCCAGCTGGTTCCCATAATAGTCCCTTTCCATTCCACATTCTTTTAAAGACATACCATTGTTTGGCTATGCCGAAAGAATGACAGGAGACATTAGATATGGGTTTAATCAGGCTGCAACTTTATTATTAGACAGATGTCTGGGACTAACCCGGTGGATAAAATGTGTGCAGTACAGGTGCAAAATGTATGTCCCTCCAGCAGATTCCCTGCTGGGACCTTACTAATTCCAGACAATTTTTTTTTGGGGGGGGGCTTCCACAGCTCCCTCCCCCCCATTTATCAAGATCCCTCCAGCAATTCCCTTGCCGGGAACTTACCACTTCCAGCCAATTCCAGTGGGAGGGGGGGCTTTCACCAGCTCCCCCCCTTTTCATCCAGGTCCCTCCAGCAATTCCCTTGCAGGGACCTTACCAACCACACCCCCTCATAGGAGGGGTTAAGGTGGACTATAATGATGCGGGGGTTGGCTCCCTGCTGTACCAATCATAGGAGTCCCCAACTGCCCCCGGTTTGCTCAATTACCAAGCACCTCTCCTTAATTCCTTTTCCAAGCCATTTTTTTGTTCTTTTGTGCCTTAAGTTATTGAGTACCTGCACTGAACATCCGCTATACACTTAAATAAAGAGTTGCGTTCTGAGTGAAGAGGGAGTGGCCAGGCCCAGCTGACCTTTTTAAACCCATCATTCCTAGGTGGTAAGTCATCTACCATGCTGGCTGCTCTTTCAGCAGCTTTATGTCTCCCCTCCTCCCCCAAGCCAAAAAGCATTGCCTTCTTCTCCCGGCCAGCCAGCCAAACTCCTCCCTGCTTAAGTGCAGGGTGGCGATTTGCTGAACTTAATCATTTACCTCAACTACATTGAAGAATTTTTTAAAAGTCACACAAACTCTTATTGCAATATTCTAAAATATTCCTTGAAAAGGGACACTTAGGAATGGGAGCCCTCCTTTAACAAGTTAGAAAATGAGTGGGTACCCATGCCCAAAATTATACAATACATCACTTACAATACAAAGTTTATATTTTTGTAGTAGGCTTCCTTTCAGAATGAATTGTTAGACTAACACGGGGCCTTTTCAATGGTAAACCCACAAAATCTAGAGTATCTTCTCCTTTCCAACACATGAACATCCTTTACTCACAAGCAGGACATCACATAAGTCACATAGGCAATTTATAAAACCTTTACAACCCTTTACAAATGCCCACTAAATTAAAATGCAATTATTGCTCTTGAAAGTCACTGTACAAATAGCATTGTTGGATCCAGTATTTGCCTGTCATAAACTCCCAACATAAGAGCAATTCAGTTAGAGAGGAAGGTTGCTTTTGTGGTGAAGTCACTGGACTGGGACTCCAGGAATGTGGGTTCAATCCCGTTTTGCTTCAGATTTCCTGTCTGACCTGGGGCAAATCTAAATGACTTGCCCCGGGTCAAACATGAAATCTGAAGCATTCTGTCCCTCAGTTTCCCATCTGCAAAGTGTGGATAGTACTGTATTATTTCCTCTCTGTGTGTGTTTTGGCCAGTTGATTTGTGTAGTCAACGATTGAACAGTCTCATTCTGCGCCCCTCCCAAAGGTCCCTGCACACTGTGGTGAAGTGAATCTCCACACAGCGTACAGTGTGGTGTGCTAGGAGTGTCCCATCTTGCACAGCAGAACAACATTGTTTCTGATGGATTCAGAGTCTCTCATAGCCACAAAGGGGGAAGGAAGGCAGGCTTTACCTTTAATAAATGAAAACACTTATGCATTTGGGGGAATGACTTCTAGATGGCTGTGGACATCTTAGTTCCCAGTCCTGCAAACACTTACACAAGTGGCACCTCCACCCCATCTCTGCCTGGTGGCAGCTCACCATAAATACTACAGTTTTAAAATAAGATACATCACTGTAACTCACCAAAGCAAGGTTCCCAAAACAACCTTATTCAGGGTGTGGAAAGCATTTGATTGAAAGCCTCTACATTCTGTTAGGGCCTGATTTTGCCACTTTTACTCAAATTCAGTAGTACATTGCTGTGAGAGGAATCCCATTGACTTTAATAGGACTAGTAACAGAATACTAGTACTCAGTGTGAATGGTTGATAATAGCATACTAGGTTTAATAGTACATTTTTTCTTTGTATGTTTCTTTCCTGTAGTGTGTAGCTAGGGTTCATATACAAATGTGCTATTTTTTTATACAACGACGTATTGATAAGAATTTTTTTAATCAAAAGCTTATCTGTATGGAAGTACAATTACATCCTGTGAGTAACAAGGATGCATTGTGCTTATCCTGCAGATGTTTACCTTTAAGGTTAAAGCTAACCAACAAATATGTACTGTGGATGAGTTTTCTTTGTGTGACTGATAACTGAGAGTGTGAGTGGACTCTCCCTGTTTCTAATCACATGGATTAGCATGTATTGTAACAATATCTTTAGGTACTGACAAAGGGGTAATCATGGACACACTCTTGTAGTCCTCACTCAGTTCTTGTCAGACTAAGCTTCTTGGCTTAACATCAGTGGAGGTTTTGCTGAAGGACTGAGGTCCTCTCCATGACCAGGTGTGGACAGGAACCTGTGGCCATAGAAAGAGGGCTTCTGCCTCCCTATGGAGGCTGTAACAGGGCAGTCTGCCCCTCTATGGGCCAGGGACCTTAGCCAGGCAGGTCCAATTGTAAGACCCAGCTGGGAAGGGGTCAGGTGATACTTATAAAGGGCTGAGAGATCTCAGTTGGAGGAGGGCTGCAGGAGTGAGGTTTGCTTCTGGGACTGGTCCTGAAGTGGAGAGAGGGGTGCTGAGTGAAATGTCACGAGATCCCTGTAACCTGTGTTGGTCAAGGAAATAATTTTGTTTTGTGCTACTTTGTGCATTTTTCTGAATAAGAATACATTCTTTTGCAGTAGTAGAAAACATTTAATGAACATCAATATATCTTCTGCCACCTATTTGAACACATTTGCTTATTCACTGGTAACATATAAATAAGTATAATTTATAAGACACTTTTGTTTTAAGATTTTAGTTACTTTAAACATTTTCTGTGAAGATAAATTATTCTCTCCCACCTCATATCTGATTTTGAATTGTTTTATAAGAAAAAGGAATGGATATTTTTGATATTGATCTATTTCTGGACTAACAAGATAGCTGTCAGTTACTTCCATCCTGGGATCAAGTACAAATGGTACAAAAGACACTTGCAAGGTTTTTTTAATGGGTCAGACATAGGTTTATATTCAGCATGACTTCTCCAATTCAAGTCACAATATAGTCAGACATATAAACTTTGGAATTTTTGTTTCTCTTATGTAAAGGCAAAATCAAATATCATGCACTAAAGAAGTTAACTTCGATATGCACATGAAAACATTTGACGTTGTTCATTTTAATGATGATTATTGTGGAAAGAATGGTCTAATCTTCATACTCATCTTCTTCAACGAATACCATGACCCTTTCCAGTTCATCCATACAACTCCATCATCTGTGCCGTGTTTTGCCATATCCCAGCTGTACTGCCCTCCCCAATAGTATCTGCCATTGGGATTGGCTGAATGGCATCGATTGTACCACCAACCACCACCATCTTCTTTAGAACACTGTTTTCTTGGATCTGCATGAACCCTGGGAGGTGGGGGGGGGGAGAGAGGGAAACACACAGTTAATAGTGACAGATGCACTGTAGCTAAACAATACAATACATTTTTACAAAATACAAAATTTTAAAAAATACAAAATTACTAAAGATAGTTAAGACCCAGGCAGGCTGCGAAGAGCTACAAAAGATCTCTCAAAACTGGGTGACTGGGCAACAAAATGGCAGATGAAATTAAATGTTGATAAATGCAAAGTAATGCACATTGGAAAGCATAATCCCAACTATACATATAAAATGATGGGGTCTAAATTAGCTGTTACCACTCAAGAAAGAGATCTTGGAGTCATTGTGGATAGTTCTGTGAAAACATCCACTCAATACGATGTGGCAGTCAAAAAAGCTAACAGAATGCTGGGAATAATTAAGAAAGGGATAGATAATAAGACAGAAAATATCATATTGCCTCTATATAAATCCATGGTACGCCCACATCTTGAATACTGTGTGCAGATGTGGTCGCCCCATCTCAAAAAAGATATATTGGAATTGGAAAAGGTTCAGAAAAGGGCAACAAAAATTATTAGGGGTATGGAACGGCTTCCATATGAGGAGAGATTAATAAGATTTGGACTTTGCAGCTTGGAAATGAGACAGCTAAGGAGAGATATGATTGAGGTCTATAAAATCATGACTGGTGTAGAGAAAGTAGATAAGGAAGTGTTGTTTACTACTTCTCATAACACAAGAACTAGGGGTCACCAAATGAAATTAATAGGCAGCAGGTTTAAAACAAATAAAAGGAAGTATTTCTTCACACAACGCACAGTGGAACTCCTTTCCAGAGGATGTTGTGAAGGCCAAGACCATAACAGGGTTCAAAAAAGAAATAGATAAATTCATGGAGGATAGGTCCATCAATGGCTATTAGCCAGGATGAGCAGGAATGGTGTCCCTAGCCTCTGTTTGCCAGAAGCCGGGAATGAGCGGCAGGGGATGGATCACTTGATGATGACCTGTTCTGTTCATTCCCTCTGTGGTACCTGGCACTGGCCACTGTTGGAAGACAGGATACTGGGCTAGTTGGACCTTTGGTCTGACCCAGTAGGGCAATTCTTATATCTTATATTCTTATTTGTGTGTGCATGTGTGCATGTATGAATCTGTTTTTTCTGATCCTGAAGATGTAGTAAAAGTTATCTCTGAACTTTCCAAAAATGATTGATCATCGAGTGTGTTCTATACACTTCATCTGGGTATATGTTATGCATAATAGCATATGGTCTGAGCCCAAACAGCCAAGGAATCGATAATGAAAAGTCTAGGCTCAGAAGAAACATCCATCTACAATGAATCTTGAATGAGAGACCACCCCATTAGGCAATCTCCTGTTTTAAGAAACTATCCCAAAGAATTTGCAAACAAATTGTATACAATTATGCTGCATCTTTTTTGAAAGATCATTTTAGCTTATCAACTAATACCTAACAGTTCTGTAAATGGTCACAGGATAGACTCAATTACATTCCTAACTAAAACTTATATGGTACCTGGTTTCAAAAAGAGCCTGGACAGAAACAAGGTGTCAGAGTGGGTTCATGCACTAGACTTTCATTTCTGGATACCTGGGTTCAAATGCAACTTTGGAAGGAAGTGAAAATTATTCTGGCAACCTTATTCTAGTCTCTACTATATGTTTGTTCGCCACATAAGACTACCACAGAATTAGAAAAATCTGCTTCAGAAAAATCAAAGATTTAAATAACAGGGATGCTGGAGGTCCATTGGTAGAAATGCACAGGAAAATTTGCACTATACCTGATTCCTCATTCTGATAAGCATAAAAAATGACACACATTTTAAAAATAACAAAGTGGAAAAGTGCTTATGATAGATCACTCCAATGCACAATTTTTTTGCATGTCTACAGCTGAAAAAGATAGTGGTAGAGAAGAGAGCTACCACATCAAATATTCTATAGCTACCACTGGTACTCAATGCATAAGTCCATGCACAGTAATAAGGATTCACCTACTGAATTTAATTAAAAACTAAGAAAACTGGCACACAACGTTCCTATAGTATGTTATATTATGCATATGTGTTTCTAATGCAAATATCATTGTAATTTAGTGGTACTGAACAATACGTACCATATGGATTTGCCAACACAAGCAATTCCTCTATTAGTAAATATTATAATAGAATAAATGACTATGTAAAAGGGTTAGAGGGCATTTTACAGGTATAGTGCCAAAGAGATTCTAAATTATGCACTTTATCACTAACAATTGAAATTCTTTCTATTCTTGATTAGGTAGAATTTATCCTTTAGAACAGGATATTTTGCTAATTTCAGCAGCAGATCTCCTTCGTTTTTGGCTCACGCTGTCTAAGGCCCAATGATCCTGCTCCTATTGACTTCAGTGTCAAAATTCTCATTGGCTTCAGGGACAGCAAGATTGGGGCCATAATCTCATGAGTTAATGTGAATGATAATACAGTGTCCAAAGGTGCCAGTCTGTGGACACTGATGTGATTTTTAGAACAACTTCAATCCACTACTCCATTGTGACATTTTGCAGAATTAGCACATATTAGCCTGTTCTAAAAGACTGTGGAACAATCCATATCCAGATGCACATAAAGCAGTAATATCTCCAATTTGATAGCTTTATCTTGATATTAAAAAAAATTGCTAATGCAAGTACATACCATCCATCATTGTCTCTGTCAAAAGTGCTGAAGAACATGCCATTGTGAACTGTCATTGTTCTGTTCTCGCCATACAGTTGTGAAGCTCCATCCATAAGAGCATTGCCAGCTGTGCCTTTATAGTTACTAACTGATATCTGATACTTGTTTGCCTCATTTTGTATGGTGAATCCTCCATAATGAGCTGAAACCTTATCACCATTCCAGTCCTCCATTTCAATTAAAACTTCAGTGGGTCCCATTTTGGTAAGCTGGCTGATTTTGTCATTTCCAAGCCAATATTCACCTGACAACCAATAAAAGGAAACTCAGTGAAACCACTTTCAGAATATGTTTTAAGGCAACTTTACTATTTTCCCATAAATCTGCTACAGTTAATGAACATCCTTTGAATCAAGTGTGGACAGTTTTAAGAAACCTGAGAAAAAAGTTTTAATAAAAGAAGCGCTTTAAGGTTTGTATTCAGAATTTTACCTGGAGTATCACAGTATTTTTTCCCTCCACTTTTTGCAATATTTCCAAATCCATTTTTGTATGCATCCCATGTTCTCCCAAAGCCAACACTGCCATCTTGGCGGTTCTGAATCAAAGTCCATCCTGCAGGGGCAACAATATTTGAATTAAATTGCAATTAACAAGAGAACAAATAGTGTTAACGTGTAATCCTGCTCCTGTTTGTGTCAAACGGTGTGTAAGAGGAGCTGGAGGGTCTGGGACTAGCCAACCCTGATTACTGAAAGAGGCACAACTCAAAAGACATCAGGTGATTACCCTGGAAAGAGCAGCTGGAAGCTGCAGTGAAGGGGGTGGATGGATGGGTGCTCACTCAGGGAGAGCAGAGACTGCTAGGAGTGTGTAGGTTCCAGCAGAGTCCTGGGATCTGGGACTAAAACTCCAGCTAGGGAATAGCCGGCTAAGGCAGGAGAGATCCTGAGCAAGCAGGGGAACAAAAAGAAAGGGACTGCAAAGCTCTCCAGGAAGGAAGGCCTGGGAGAGACCGGAGCAAGCAGGAGGCAAAAAGGCCTCCCTAGGCAGAAAGGCCTGGGAGTAGGAAGAGAAATGTTTGTCTGTTGGACTTTAATTTGGGACTGTATGTTTTATTTTTAGTTTATGTTCTGTGAGTAAATCCAGACCCAAAGAATGGGTATTCTGACCACAGAAAAAATGTATGGAGTCTGTGTAAGGAGTTTTAAAAAGGGGGAAACAGAGGCAGGGCACTGCAGAGTGACCTCTGACCACAAGGGGGCTCTCAGGAGAGAGTCAACCCTACTACAGGGAGCTTTGCCATTGACTTCAACTGGAGCAGAACTGAACCCTTAGGGTATGTCTATACAGGAAAGAAAAACCTATGGCTGGTCCGTGACAGCAGACTCATGATCGCAGGGCTCGGGATCATGGGGCTGTTTCATTGCTGTGTAGACTTCTGGGCTCGGGCTGGAGCTCGGGCTCTAGGATCCTGCAGGGTGGGAGGATCCCAGAGCGTAAGGGCCTAGTTTTACCACCCTACTCACATTGAGTGGTACCATATCCTGTGACTCAGGCTGGAAGAGGGAGGCCAAAAGGGACATGTTTGGTCCCTTATTACAGATGTGATCACAGTACTAATGAAGCAAGAGTGCAATCTTTGGAGTGTGCACTCTCTGAAATAATCTATAAATAGTTAAACTGCTGTGCTGGCCTGAATGCCTATCTTCATGTCAGAAGCAAAGAATGCTTGTAACATTTTCATATTTGGCTAGATATTTACTTAGTTGTGAGTTGTGGGTGACGAGTAGCTATGCTGCCCCAGGAAGAGCACTGGGAGGCAGAGAAAGTCTCAGAGGCACAATTCTTCCCATTTTCCCCTCTTGCTTGGGGCATAGAGGGAAGAAGTAGAATCACAGAATCATAGGAATGTAGAACTAGAATGGATCTCAATAGGTCATCTAGTCCAGTCCCCTGCACTGAGGTAGGACTAAGTATTTTCTAGACCAGCAATACTCAGACCTCAGTAGTTCAGGAGCCAAATTAGTGATCAACATTACCCAAAAGAGCCACTGTATGTGAATTCATTGTTTCATTCACTATAGTACTATATGTTCATTCACTATAGTACTATATGTTCATATTTAAACAGTATGATGGGGAAATATTTAGTTTATATCTATATTATTCTCACAGCAAAATGACTGACCACATATTATTATTTTATCATCAACCACAATTGGTTAATAACATAGTAAAAGCATCCTGATTGGTTAATAACTTAGATTGGTTAATAATTAAATCACACAGCATTTTCATATCATGTGCTGCAAAGAGCCACAGGAAACACATTAAAGAGCCACTTGCAGCTCACGAGCCTCAGTCTGAGCATCACTGGTCTTGACCATCCCCAACAGGTATTTATCTAACCTATTCTTAAAAACCTTCAGTACCAGAGATTGCACTGTAATTTGTTTCAGTGCTTAACTACCCTTACAGTTAGGAACAAATTACCCAGTGAGGTTGTGGAATCTCCATCACTGGAGGTTTTAATACATTGCAGGCCTTGAAAGTGTGCAAGTTACTCCCCTTCATGCACCCAGCCAACTCCTCTGGCCAATGAATGGGGCAAGGTGGGGAAGGAGTCAAAGCTCCCCTATCTGCCCATTCCCTTCCACTTGCTCCAAATTGGGAGCATCCGGGGCTCAGTCCTTGCACTCTGCACAGGGCCTGGACCGAAGCTCCAGGAAGCCCTAACACAGCCAACCTGGAAGATGTGGAGATGGGGGCAGTCATACGCTTTTCTTGCTCCCTAGAACAGTTGTGATATTGCACTTCAATCTAGCCACAGTAAAATATACGAGTCAAAATTTCATCTACCAAGCCCAGTCAGTGACTATCCAACAATTCTTTCTCCACTTTATTAGAGAAAGATCTTACTATGCATGGGCCACCTTCCACTCCAGCACTCAGATCCCTCAGCACGTAGTTCTCAAAACTTTCTGTAGATGACATTCTGCAATGGTTCACAAGCCATAGCATGATAACAATTGCTTTAGATTAGCTAATAATTAGTGCCAAAAGTTATAATCTCAGATGAGCACAAATGCAAAGAAATACAGGAGAAATGCAAATTCATTTTTGTGAATATTTATAGTTATCCCTGTCACAGCACCATAGTTCATCTCACACTTACCTCCATTTGCTGTGGTCATATCACAGTAAACCTTGTAAGGTCTGAAGAAAGCATCAGGCTGAATGAGGTACATTTCAGATGAATCACCTCCTTTTCTGATAATGTCTTCACATTCTGCAATCATAAATCAACAGTTTATGTTTCTGAGGGACCTATGAAATTCTAGTAGAACAATCCTCTTCATAAAGAAAATAATTAACAGAATAGATTTCTATTTGCTAATTATACAGGAATATCTTACAAACATCTAATTCTGCTTGATTTCACTTTGATTTAAATTATAAATTAAAATGACATAAGAGGGAATCACGAAAGAAAGAAAATTATACCTGTATTGTCCCACAATCCCTTATAAGATGAGATTTTCAAAAACTCCTTAGTGACAGGTCCCACTGACGCACAATGCCTTTTTGAAAGTCAGTGGGACTCATGCTCCTAAATCACTTAGGTGCTTTTGAAAATCCCACCCACAATAGATAAATAAGACAGGTAATACATATGATTTTCCATACTGGATCAGGCCAGTGGTCCATCAACTCTGGTATCCTGATTGGTGACTGGTGTCATATGCTTTGGAGGAATGTGAACATGTGCCCATAATGCATCTGTCCAGTTGTACATTGATATAAAGGACGGAAGGGAGAGATTTCTGTACATGTAAATGAGTTACCTTTGCCTGACACCACTGGGATATTACAGGAAACAATGCATGAAGAGCGGCAATTTTCCATTTGGGATGCTATCGCATTTTCCAGTTTTTGTATCTTTTTGTGTAAGGTATCCACAACTGAACGGAGGACTCGGAGGCTAGATGGGATGTTGTTGTCCATGTTCTCTCTGATGTATGTATAGTGCTGCTCTATCTCTGTGTTGTACTCAGAAACTACATTTTCATTATCTAGAAAAGAGAATGTATAACAACTGTCACAATTTTCAATGTTTTCCAACTAGCATATTCTAATCCAAATTATAAACCATGATCCAGTCAGTATTATTTGAGATTTTACTTCTGCTGTAAAAATGAAAAGAGTGCTCTGTGTGTCCTTTCCCCCTCTTCCCTGATTTCACAGTGTGCAAAGAGCTTTAGCCCCTGTAACAGGGACATACTTTGTATTATGGCTCAGTATAAATGTACAAATTTCTTGCTGTGATTATATTCTCATAGACTCATAGACTTTAAGGTCAGAAGGGACCATTATGAACAGCTAGTCTGACCTCCTGCACAACACAGGCCACAGAATCTCACCCACCCACTCCTGTAACAAACCCCTAACCTATGTCTGAGTTATTAAAGTCCTCAAATCATGGTTTAAAGACCTCACGGTGCAGAGAATCCTCCAGCAAATGACTCGTGCCCCACACTGCAGAGGAAGGCGAAAAACCTCCAGGGCCTCTGCCAATCTGCCCTGGAGGAAAATTCCTTCCCGACCCCAAATATGGTGATCAGTTAAACCCTGAGCATGTGGGCAAGACTCACCAGCCAGCACCCAGGAAAGAATTCTCTGTAGTAACTCAGATCCCACCCCATCTAACTATATTCTGCCAAGGACCTGTAGTAAACACCCTCACAGAAGCTTATTATGGCTGTCCAGGAGCTGGGGACATCTAGGGTATGTCTACACTGGAATAAAAGACCTGCAGCACGACTGTGGCTGGTCTTGATCAGCTGACTTGGGTTCACAGGGCTCAGGCTGTGGGACTAAAAATAGCTGTGTAGACATTCAGGCTCAGGCTGGAGCCCAGCAATTTTACAGTGCCGCAGCCCGAGCTCTGCGATCCCGAGTCAGCTGACCTGGGCCAACTGCAGGTGTTTAATTGTTGGGTAGACACAGGCCTAAGGGTCCAATGCAAGTTTTACCTTTGACTTCATCAAAAGCAGGATCAGGTCCTTGGCCCCTCAGCTAGGATTTTTTAGATTTAGTTTTATGGACTTGTGACACCTTAGCTACTTAGACTGATGCTCCTATCTGTAACCTTTTTAAATAAGCCCTATATATGTAATACTTGTAGCAATGCAAATTTGTCTGTAATACTGATTTACTGCAATGATGCATAACAATAATGTACCTTTTATTTGTTTTTGTCTTCTTTGCAGTTTATCTTCTAGTGTATTCATGTACTCATAGAATGTTGAAGAGGTTTCGGACTGTTTCTCTACTTTGTTCTTTAGGTCCCGAATGTCGGATTTCACACTTTGTTCCTGTTTTACCAGTGCAGTTTGCAGCTCACACCCAGTTGGACACAACACTCCCTAAAAAAGCAGGGGGGGGGGGAGTCAACTACAGGTGCTGTAGATTAGGGCCAAGATTTATAAAACTGGGTGCCTAAAGTTAGGTTCCCAATCTCATATTTAGGCACCTAAACAAGTAACCAGATTTTTAAACGTGCTGAGCATCTAGCAACTCTAGGCCATTTATTTAGTTGTCTCAATATGGTCTCAAAATACTTCAGACATTCAATTTATTGGAAAAAAACTGCCATCTTAAATGGAGAAAACAGGCTCAAGCTCCAGTTGGGGATCCCTTCTGATAACTCATTAAAGTTCTGGGAGGGGGAGACCCCCTAATATCTGTGATCCACCACATGCTTTTGGCTAATTTTTCTGGATTACCAACTGTTCATGGTTTAACCATCTGCAGCTACAAAATTATGACTCATCAAGCACTACAGCCATATCAGGTACCCAAAAATATTGAGATATATGTCCCCCATATAATCACAAAATTAAGTATTAACTTTACTCTGGTACATAAGGTATGAGTATCTTTCATGTGAAACAACCATACACCAAAAGATTTAAACAATTATCTCCTCTGGAAGCTTGCACTATTATTATAGCATCAGTCACTATTCCTCTGAAGGATGAAAATATACCAAAACGGATGAAGAAAATACAAAAGCACCAAATTTCGAAGCAGTATGAGACCGAAAGTACCCAACCTACTAAAGGCCTCCAAAATAATCCTGCGTTTCTGATTAACTGAACTTTAACAAACTTGTTTGAGTCATCTCTAGTTAGAAGTAATAAGTTCTCAGATACTAAGATGCCTAGCAGCATGGTAACAACTTATGCTTTTTACTGGAGACCAAGACTGAGGTAATGTGATGCACAACTGGTTCAGTATAGGGAAGTTAGCATTCTACTAGACATACTACTTGTCTTTGCATACACTACCCACCTAAAAGAGCTTGGGTTAAAGACTGATGGTAGAATGTAATGAATGCTTGAAGAATTTAAAAAGTGGGGGATTCCTTTTAATATTGGACAGCTGGACAGAGCCATGCCCTACAGGATAGATGCAAAAATGTTTGATAGTGAAGATGCCCTGGATAATGTATTAATATGTTAAAGCAGATCTGTGCTATATCTTTCTTTCAATTCGTAATGCCTAAAGATACAGCTACATATTTCCATCTTCGTTCCTTTCATCTCTAGGGTAATGAATTAGTGGGGGTGGGGGTGAGAAGTGAACCTTTGGCTCTGCCTACTCCACTGCACCTCTCCAATGAATGGCTCCTCAAGTGGAGGGCAGCATCTCAATTGCAGTCCCTATGCCTCCTCAACCACAGGTCTTGCAATTCTATCCAGCCCTTTTGCAGGCCATGAAGAGTGAGAAGAGAGGCTCCTTATTCCTTCCCTCCCAATGCACAGCCATGTAAGTGATGGGGGGCACAATCTAGCTCATAATTATTTACATTCATCATTCAGGACTCAGTTCTGCCTCCCTGCTCGTCATAAGTAGGATCTGACTCAACAAATAATCCCATGAAATCAACAAGACTACTTGCTCAATCAGGTACTGCTCAACATGAGCAAGGGAGAGCAGAGTTGGGCTGTCAGTGAACTACAATAGTCACTTCTTGGTGTTTGGTTGATTAAGAAAACTATTCTTCACAACTGTTAAAGAAAGAAAAAAATATTAAAGGGCACAACAGTTTAAAAAGATGAGTTCTGAAAAAATAGTAGTACTTGTGGCACCTTAGAGACTAACAAATTTATTAGAGCATAAGCTTTCGTGGGCTACAGCCCACTTCTTCGGATGAAAAAATAGTGATGACTAATGTTTCTGGAGGGGTATCATCAAAGCACTAGAAAGGGAAGTGCATCGAATTCACTGTAACCACCTGAATGCTACTGAACATTCCAGGCACAAGATACCTGCTGAGCTGCAGGTAGTACCATTGTGAGGTTTAGTACATTTCTGAAAGCAGGGATACAATTACTATTAAGTGCATCTGTCTCCACTACAATTACAAGGCAAATACACCTACTAGCTCATCTGATGCATGCCTGCAGCCTCCAGCATCAGGATAAACGACATTTTCTTTCTTCTGGCCCCGAGTGGGTGGTTTTGTTGGACGAGCCTGATATCCACCTTTACTAATGGGAGGAGGAGCTGGTCTGAGAGTTGGCATTGGCTCCCGTCTTTTATCTACTGGTCTGTGACCTCGAGCATCCACTTTTTCGCCATTAGCCTACACAAAGCCAGAGGGAGAAAAAACTCTTTATAATTAGGATCATTATTTTAAAAGCAGGTACATCAATTGTATAAAATATAAAAATAGCATACATCAATTTATTGGCATATTTTAGGTGTCATTTTACCCTCTATCTTTCACATTTTAGTCACAAGAAATACACTAATTCCATGCAGGAAAAAGACCTGAGTATCATTTTGGGTAGCTGAATGAAAACATCTGTTCAATGTACTTTGGCATTAAAAAAGTGAACAAATTGTTAGGACAGTTAAAAGATGAAATTGAAACTAATACTGAAAATATTGTAATCACCCCATCTCAAAATAGAAATAGCAAAAATAGAAAAGGTTCAGAAAAAATAAATAGCAAGAAACTTAAACCTGATAAAAAGAAATAGATTATTTTGCACAACTCATGGCCACTGGACATGGAGTTTCAAGTTATTAGTAGGATTCAAAAAAGAATTAGGCATCTATATGGATAACAATCTTCTGAATAAGGGAAATAGGATAGACCAAAAAATTCAGATCTGATCCTTCACACCCTCACTGTGGGTAGCCCAGTGAGGTCAATGAGACTACTCTCACAAGTAAGACCCACATGTGTAATGGCTATGAGATCAAACTCTTAGAAACACCAGAAATAAGCAGTGTACATTAGAAAATGGCTGGGAAGTTATTTGGTAAAATAGTATATCAGAAACATATTCAATTTATAGACCCAGCCAATTATGCCACATATGAAATAATTTCTTATTTTTGAACCTGGTATTCATTTGTTTAGGGATTTGTACAAGATTTTTAAAAGTCCAATTTTAAATCAAATATTGACTTCTTTTAAATTTCTTTCCTTAAGCAAAATTAATATACCAGCTATACACATTTTTATGCCTTAATTTTAAACTGGCCTTGGTGGGTTTTTTTGTTTGTTTGTTGTTTTTTAATTCTGTTTCAGAATGTTACCTCTCTCTTTCTAACTCCAGTGCAGTATAAACTGGGAACCAGTTCCTTCCTTTTGTTGCTCATTTAGAGCCTGATTCAAAGCCCACTGAATCAATGGAAAGACTCCTATTGACTTCAATAGTCTCAAGGCATTATTTAACACACATTTTGCTACTCTTTTACTTACGCATGTTTCTCATGCTCTTAAATAAACGTTAAAATTGTTAAATAAATATCCTTACTTGAATATGTCTGAACATGTAATTAAATCCAATCTTACCCTGGGAGCGTTGTCACTTTCCTACAAAGAGAGAGAGAGGGAAGAGAAGGAAAATACATCAGAAAACAGGGGGGGAAAACCCTACAGTTTGCTGTTACACACATGAGAAAAAAATAATTACAAACAATTTTCCTTGAACACCTTAAGCTGAGGATGAATATGTTTTTGAGATAATTAAACATTTTATTTTGTAATTTAACTAAATTAAAAAGCTTATAAAGTCATACATACAACTAAGTAAGATCAAGCATTACTATTGTTATTATTAATTGTTATCATCATTACTACAACCTCATCATCATACTCTACAGAAGCCTGGGATTTAACTATGGAAACACAGAGCAGACACAGCAATAGCAGTTTCATGATGCTGGCTTGCTTAAACATCTTGGTAACCTTCCCTTGCTGAAGGTACTGACAGTGAAAGGCACTTTGTGTTCATATATATACCAGACAGTCTGAAGTTTCCTGGCTTGCTAATGATAGGTCTAACCAGAAAAAAGAGTTATCGTTCCACTGTTAATATTTAATCTCTTTGTTCACTTTGTGCCTGAACTTTGTGTTGAGCAACATCTACATGGAGGCCTTATCTACATGTTACACATACCCCACATATCTGATGGCATAGTTTAAATGAATAAATCCTGAAAATCACCTCTTCTTCAAATATGTGAATTTAATATTTTCCTAAAAATCATTAGCCTTTTGAAACACCTGAAAAGGTGCACATCCAGCCAACTGAGGTGAGGGAAATAATGTCAAATGTCACAAAAAAAGCAAGTTACTTACTTTCTCCTCTTGGAAACCTTAGACTTTTTAAAATATTTCATTAAATATGTATCAAAATCATATAATACACAATGCTAAGCTATATTGTACAGTGCATACATCAACATAAATTTCTATGAGTATCAAACCTCAGGAAGGCTATTGAGGCAAGTACATGATGCTTACAGGATAACTATCATTCTTACTGCAGCACTTAGAGGTCCTAATCAGGGGTTAGAGTCCCAATGGGCTAGGAACCACACACACATATAATAAAGGTAGCTCTGCCCCGAAGAACTTACAAAATATAGCCCATATCCAGCAAAGCACTATAGCATTTCAGTTTCAATGGGACTACTCATGAACTTAAACGTTCAGCACATTCTTAAGTACTTTGTTAGTTTGGGACCTATCGATATATAATTTAATTGATAAAAGTTGATTCCTATCTAATAACTTAATTTTTTTTAAAAAAAGTCTGATTTCCAGAAATGCTCAGCACCCACAACTGGAGCCAGATTTCAAAAGATCTCAGCTTCCTTTTACTCACCTAAGTAAGGTGGCCAGTTTTTGAAAACTGCTCAGTACCCAACTGTTGTCAGTGGGATTCACTGAATGCTGAGCCCTTTTGAAAAGTCATTAAGATGCCCAAAAGGAAGCTGAGTACCTTTCATAATCTAGCCCAGAGTTTACAACCTATGCATATTTTAAAAACACAAAACAAAATTGGAAAACAAACCAAAAGCTGAGAGAACAAACCTGCAAACCTTATTTAAGAAAGTAGTCATTGGCATCATAGGGGCTACTCACTTGAGTTGACTAGTGCTCACAAAATTGTTGGCAGAATCAGACCCAGAATATGCAACATAACTCCTGGGATAAACAGGAAGAGTGGGGTGCCAAAAAAGATCCAGCTGACTCATAAGTGTCCTGGTTAATATTGGTGTTATTAGAAGAGATGGGGGAGGGTTTAATAGTAAGCAAAATATTTGAAAATCCATCACAGATGTTAGCACTACCCCAATGGATATCTATTATATCAGAAATATAAACTTGGGCCTCATTTACCCTCACTAAAACAAAATCCTTAGTAGATCTTTTTTACTCCAAGATGTTGCTTGTGTATCTCAAGAAATGTTCTGAAAATATTCATTTTAACCATAAAACCGGACTTCATTTCTGCTGTGTTTGCACCCTGTCTATTCTCCTGTCATTAGCATTCTAGTAAACAATTTGACAAGCAGGAATTTTCACAGGAGCAGCACATTTTAAGCAAATATAAGATAGAAGGATAATCATGAATTTACAATTGTGAATATCCATACTGGATTTTAAGAGCTGTACTTGCACAATTAGTAAACAGTCAAAATTAGCCAACAAAACAAGAATTTTGAATATTCCTAATGACTTGCTCACAATCAATCTACAGATCAAAAATAATTTGTAGAAATTATAATTAATATGGTGAAGAAATTTGAATATCAAGTAAGTATGAAAAAATCATAAGCTTGCTGAGGAAATTCACAAACAGAAAAGAGTCTACATTCATTTAATTAATAATTCACTGTGAAATAGTTGCTCAGTTCTATTCAACAGGCAGATTAATAATTCAGGCATAAAACAACATTCACTACTTCATATTACTTCAGTCATACTTAGATTTAAAAAAATAACATAAAATAAAAATAATTTTAAATAATTAAATTTCATGTATTTAAGTTACTCTTTCCCCTTCTTAACTGCAAAAGCAAGGTACATAATCAAAAGAAACATCTTATATTTGTTAATGATAATTAATAAAATAATTAAATGTTCATAAAGACATTTTTAAAGAACATATTGTATAGTTAAAGTGTCTTATTAAATGGCAACAATCACAACGTGTCAAAAGAAGCATTAAGTGCCATTAACATAAGAGAATGTATTTAACTTACTGGATATATAATTTATTATATTTTTAGAGAAAACTGTGGGAATCCTTATCTTGAAGCTCAATTGTATAATCACAGTGGGCATCCACATTTTGAGGTAATAAAGATTCAGTTGATGTTAAGGGTGAGATTTTCAAAGGCACAAATGGAAGATAAGTGCCTAATTCTCCTTGCCTTTGAAAATCTCACCCAAAGAATACTATTCAAAAGAAGTTCCCTGGGGCTTCCAATCCTTATCTACTAGATGCTGAATATGGACTTGTGACAAATACAGTGGGTGTTTATCTTTTTGGTCCTAGATGTGTGCATAATTCCTGCAAAGGCTAATGGAAGTTTCATACTCATGCTGAAGCAGAAAAAATCCTCACCTCAGTGTGTATATTATATAATATAAAAGCCAGTGGTATGTCCTGTCACCTTCTACTTGACTGAAGGTCAGAACTCCCCAAATGTGTAGTTATATACCCTGCTAGTGGGTGCCCTATAACAAGGTTCTCCAAATACTACAGCTAGTTCTTCTTGAGTTCAAATAGTAGGGGCCTTTTTTAGGAGCAGAAGATCATGGGTTTTGTCCCCCTTTATTGTGTGTGTGGAGTTGAACTGACAACTGTGATATCTGTATATAAATAAACCATAGATTCATAACTTCATTTATTTACTGTTTATTCTCATTTTCCCCCCTAAAAAGACACATATGGAATTTGTGAGCATGCATTTTATTAAACTAGATCCTTATAAATACTGTCCCACATTTGTCCAATAGGTATTATAAAACACTTCCCAGTTATTCAAGACTCTCATATAGCCAAGGTTTTATCATACCCCTGGCTATTTCCCTCTGTAATTTTCCTGTAAATTATAAATGAAATGCAGAGTATTTTCCTGTAATAATAAGGTAGCTGTCCAGCAAATGGACATTTATAAAACAAACAGAACAAAAACTAAGGAACATTCTAAAAAGGACATTGTCATTCTATGGTGACAGATATTTGTATTCAATCCAAAATAGTTTTGGGAATGAACATAAGTTCCGCTGTAAAGACACACTTTCATTAGGTGGGAGTTTTAGTGAAAAACAAGGAGGGGAACAGATAAAGCTGCATGTCTTAGACTCTTTTTCTGTATATGTACCATTATCAAAATTCCTGTAGACACAGGAAATATGGGAGCAGTTTAACCTGACTTTGGGCTTAATTATTAAACATCCTGGACTAAAGGCAGGCCTGGCCTAAAGCAGGTGCTGCTCCATTGAATTTCGTCCCTTGTCCATTGACACCCATATCACTGTTACCTTTTGTACCACTCACATTTCCTATTAATGTGTGTTGAAAGAATGTGCAGAAGCCAAAAACTAGCAATAGTACTACAGTATCCTATTGTACTGATTTTACTTGATTGGGTACTACTAAAAGGCATCACCTAGAATCTATCCTAGGTACTTATATGGCCACCATTACCATAGTATTTGAACACTTTACAATCTTTAATGTATTTATTCTCACAACACCCCTCTGAGAAAGGGAAGTACTATCATCTCCATTTTACAGATGGGGAACTGTGGCATAGAGAGGCTAAGGCTCATATTCTCAAAGGTATTTAGGCTCATATCTCCAATTTAAATTAATGGAAGTTAGGGGCATAAATACTTTTGAGGATCTGGGCCTAAGAAACTTGCTCAAAGCCACATACAAACCTGCGGTGAAGCAGGGAATGGAAACTGGGTTTCATGAGTCCAAGCCTAAGGTCCTAACCACCAGGCAATCCTTCCTCATAATTAAAGTTGCTAATAAATTTACAAGTTTTTAATTGTCTTCCACTTTGGTTCTTCTTTTGAAACTGATAATACATTCTTAAATACTTGGTACTTATAATGTGCTTTTTATAAAGATTAAATAAAATTTAATTCATTCCCATAGATCAAGAAACATGAAGTTTTGAGGACAGGATCCAGTCCCTGCTGATCCTCTCCTGGATAGGGCATTAGTGTGAGAGCCACAGAAAACTTCCCCATGTGGCTTCATTGCTCTTCCTGATTGAATTCAGTCTTTGACCTATCCCACTCTAGTATGTTCAATTGGCCTGTCTGGCTTCCCTTGTACAGTTGTCAAAATATAGCATATCATGATATATTTGTTGTGTTTTTCTAGGGATTTACCAGGAAAGCACAACAAATTAACAATTTTTGACAATGTACATGATATTTTGTAGTTTCAAATTGCATACGCTGCAGTACAATGGGGACCACACTATAGTTACTAGTAATACTGAAAACAAACTTTTTCAGAGCCCCCAACAAGGAAAAGTTTGTTAACACTTTATTTTTCATAAAAAGAACAGGATGTCTCCCCCTCCTTATTCTTCATGACTTCAAAGGATAGAAACTTCTCCTGAATTACAGGTGTAATGGTATTGTCGCAAGTTTGCCATGCCAAGTATTTGTGATGACAAAATAGTAAACTCCATGGTGTATCAGGATCTCTACTTCCACTATGTCATATATGACACAAAAAGGATATTTACCATTAGAGTTTAAAAAATGAATGGATACTTCCTTCAGTAGCTGCAATAGTTGTTCTGTTGACTTGCCTGATCAATGGTACAATGCCCTTTAAACCAGCCCACGAAGTCAGACAAGTCAAGGGCATTGAATTAGTGACTCTCATATCAAAGATAAATCTGTTCTTGGCATAAGACTAGATGTGGGAGGCAACAGGACTTTCTTAGGCCA